TGCTGCGGTGTCATGGTTTGGATCTTCTGCACTGAGCTGTGGCCTTGCTGTTGTTGCTGCGGTGTCATGGTTTTGATGTTCCGCCTGGTCTGCAGTAGGAGAAGCGGGCAAAGATCCAAAGCGGTCCACATGCTCGCACATGAAATTCACGCATATGTTCCTTGGATGTCAACCCCGTGGATGTCAACCCTGCAATGAAAACAACATACCCCACCCCCAACAAGAGCTTGAGTAAACCAAAACAAAGAATCTCTGCTGCCACCTTCTTCAGCACTTTGATAGAAGGTCCACACTGTTGATGAGACATATGGATTGGTGCCCTCATGCCAATTGAATGCGCGTTCAACAACTTCTCCAACATCAGAACACCCGCCGGAACAATCACAATGTCACCTGGAAGCAAACACCCAGATGCAAACGACTTCATGCCCTGCAGCTGATCACTGGCAGCTGTCATTGTGCTCAATGCTTTTACCATGTCCTGGGAACAAAAGACTTGTCAGTTATGAAGTAAGAGTTGCAACGGGTTTGAATGTTTGTTGACATGTAGAAGAAATACTGTCCTGGATCTGCGTCCCATACAAGTCATGTAGTTCAGACAGCTGCGCAGAAGCAAACATACGTGTCCCTTCCATTTGGTATATGACCCATCCAACACCTCCTTGTGGTGTAAACTGGTTCACAGAACCGTTTCGGTGAGCAAAGAATTCTGCTGATGACCACTTTGATAAAGCATATTCAATCGCTTCCTTGCTCTCATATCGATCATCATTCTGGGCGTTCAACCAATCCGCAAATGTCTGTTCACTCACCATGGCAGAGTTGACGGCCATTGCTCCATCCTGTATCAAAGGACAAGCAAGTCAACCTTTATAATAAATGAAATTGAATCAAGCAACACACACACACATATCATTATATCTCTGTGGTAACGAATCATTGAAAGGTTGATGACAGCTTTACAACTACAAACTGAAGCTTCTCCTGTGTAAACCGCTTGTCAATCTGCTCCATCATCACATATTCCAACCCAAGATCTGGAGAATAGGTTTTGATGTTCTCAGGAAAAGGCTTGGTGGCACTGTGCCTATCCTTCTCATCTTCCAGGGCTTTGCAAGCCTATCTCGTGATATACAAATCATTTCAAATGAAGGTGTGTCCAAAAAGCAAGGCAACTGAATGAACAACAGCCCCTGCCTCGGCTGTGAATTTTCGCATCTCAGCAGAGATGAGCTGGATTTTCTTCATCATTTCGGTATCATCGGCATTCTGGGCCTCAAAAACTTTCTTCACCAAGCTGCGCCGCATGCGTAGAACCACAGGTCTAGCAGGGTTGTCCAAGAGCTGTTGAATCGAGGGAACCTCAGACACAAGGATATACATGAAGATACACACAAACTTCAGCTGAAGCAGACATGATTTTACCCTGCCAAGCAGCAAGGTCCTTATCTTCGAAAATTGCAACTTGGTGATCAGGAAATCTTTCCTTGAACACCATTGGATCACTATCTCCAATCTGGCCTTGGATAGAAGCTGCTTGCCGACGTCTCTTGGGTGGGTCTTGGGGGTTTGCGGGATTTTTTTCCTCTCCATTTGCAGCTTCTTGAGCTGCTGCTTGTTTCTGTCGTTCTTTCTCTTCCTTAGCAGCCGCTTTCTCTTTGGCCTTTTGTTGACGCTTGATCTCTTTCGCAATCTCCTAGGCAAGAATAAGTAAGGGAAAAATAAAGATAAGAGTTTGAACCTGAAAAAGCAACTGAAGATAAGGAATACTCAGCTGGCAATAAGTCAAGTAGCCTTTTGCTCATCAGCACGGGCTTTGGCCAAGGCTTTCTGATTGGCGCTGAAGTCACTGGCAGTCTGAAGTACAGACTTTGCAATGCTGTCAAGCTTGTTCAAAGCAGCACTGTGGTCTTCAAAAGTGCGATCAACGCTTTCGATAGTTGGCAGCAGCAAGCAGTGCTCTCGAGTGCTGTTCAAATGGCCCTTTGTTTGGACATG